AAATAGATTTGTTATTTTTTAAAGTGGTAAGTCAAATTCCTAGTCAACATGTTTTGCATTAATTACTTGCTATTAATGGTAATAAATATTTTTTTTAAGCTTCCCCGTGCAATTAATGCTTTCCAAGATTTTGGGGATGTTATTTTGTAATTGACCAATGCGTTGATTTTGCGTTAGAAAATCTTATCCCATTAAATCTCCTTAATATAACACTTATTTTATATTTAAAAATAATAATGGATTTTGATTTTCAATCATTCACAAATTAAAGATCTTATAGATTAAATCTCAACACTTATTTAATAATAAGAAAAAAATCAGCCTCTCCAAAACTCCATCCAAATTTTATTTAAAGTCACGAATACCTTGCTCAATCAATTCTCCAAAATATAAGTCCGAGTTATTGTCTAATAAAAGATTTTTAGGACATGATTAGTATGAAGGAATGACATGGGAATGAAATGATCGTTCCTTCACTCATTCCCTATCATGTGATTGGTATACATTTTTTTAAAGGAATGACTATTATAACGGGATGACAAAACTCATCTTCATGGGATTAGCCATTCTTTAATTTGTGGAAGGTTTTCTCATTCCCATGTGTGTAGGAATCAATTTTCCAAAAAATAATAAAAATAAATATATAATATATATTATAAATCATGATTAAAATATATTAAATAAAATTATTTTAAAAAATAAAATTAAAATAAAAAAAAAATTGAAAACTTACTTTTATTTATTGTTTATATATTATTAAAAATATATTATTTTATTTTTACATATTATTAAAAAAAGCATTTACATATAATTTATTAAAAATTATTGAAGATGTAATACCCGGTACAGGGTCCCCACCTGATATGCTGAAATGCAAGTGCTGAATGGTTTGCAACTGTCGGAGGCTCGACTCTCCACAAGCTACAAAATATATTCTAAGTACTTATCTTAAATTGAAACCTCGAATTATATTATCTGAGCCGTTAGGTTCGCTCACTCGGCTTAAAAAAAATCATGTTAGGGATTTACGAGCTGATTTTAAAAATTTATTGTCTTTGAGGCATTCTAGAATTCTCTGAAATATTTTTTAAGTCTGAAACTATAATCTGAATTAATCTAATCTGACTGACAACTTAAGCATATCTGAATCTTAAATCTATCTGAACTCTTAACTATATCTGAAATCTTAATCTGATTGGATCTGAAATTTATCTGAAAAATATATAAAATTCTATCTGAAATATATCTCTGAGATTTCTATCTAAAATATATCTCGAACCGTCCGGACTGACCGGACCGGTTCGATTGAACTGGACCGACGACTCACTCGCAGTCGGTCGATCATTTGCTTGACTATGTGCAGCTCGGTT